TACCAGGGGTACAAGGTCTGAAGCCAAGCGCGAGACCAGCAAGAGGGAACCCGAGACTGCTACCGAGAACAAGAAGCGACCTAAAGGTGGCAAACCATCAGCCCTCATGAATGGGCAGACCCACAAAGGTGACCATGAAATGGACACCGACACTCCCAATCCTAAGTCCAGCACAGCCAAGGCTGCCAAGGGCACCCCCAAGCCCACTTCCAAGCCCGATCAGAAGCGGGCTGGCTCTGGGGAGGTGACGGGCCCCGCCATGTCAAGTGAAGAGGCAAAAGCTCAGAAGAAAGCATTGCTTTCTCGCAAGTCTTGCGCATACAAAAAGGCCAGGTCGGAAGCTATCAAGGGCGGTTCGTCGTGGGAGGATGCCATCCAATTAGCGAAGAAGGCGGGAACCACATTTATGCATGCAATCACGTGCAGCCACATATCAATGCGCATGTAATGTGCGAAAGCTTTTTTGGCTGTGTGATGCAATGCCCATGCAGGCATATGCAGCTACCGAGTGATCTGCTTTTTGATCACCAAGCTCAGCTTGGTGTGGGGTACCTGTTGTGGGGTTGCTTGCAAAGCAAGCTTGAACATTTCATCGATGAGTGAAGTGATCTAAAGTGGGCAGTGGGTACACGCTCATGCCCGCGAAAGCTCGAAATCGGAGGTGGCCTCACTGGCTAGAAATGCGCGTGATTTCAACATGCAATTTCAATTCCACTTTGGCTGCTGCATCATGCTAGTCAATTCCCTTTGAGTGGAACAGTGCAATGCATGCCGAGAGATTGCCCGCCCTCCAATCTAGAGAGATTGCCCACCCTCCAATCTAGAGCCCCTCAACTGTCACTTGCCCTGCCCATATTCTTCCTGGGAGGCTGGCATGAGCGATGCCTTTTGCTGCAAAGGATGGTTGGGTGCTGCGGGCTGTGATGTGCGGTTGGCCTGGCCAGAATTGGTTGGACATGTGGTTGGGGATGGGTGAGGTCCATGCAGCCGATCTCTGAACTCATGACAGTTGAAGCGTTTCAATCCGAAAACACCATGACCGAGCCATGCGTTCATCCCGCAGTGTTTTTGTCTGCACCTCAACTCCTTGCGTGATGTCGCTGTTGAAGAACCCCGTGGCGACACTACAACATGTGCAAGCACCCAAGGCCTGTTTTGCATTCTGACTGTTTTGCGGTTTGGGGTTGATTGATCAGTTCAAGTTCCAAGTTCACAAAATATGCATCGCCAGGCTTATCCCGCCATGCATTTTGCCCCATAAGCTTTTCCCAGGGTTCACGGTTCACACATCGCTCCCGATCAGGTTCTCATCGCCTGTGTCTGGGTCTTATAGCTTGGCCTCTTCTGTCGGACTGTGAAATGAATTGCGCAAAAATGGAGGTGTCCGAAAAAACGCCGGTATATAGGCCATACAGGCACAATTTCGGACACCTTCGAAATTGTAAGATCTGAGGTCTTACTACTTGGATGGATGGAGGCCCCTGTTGGCGTTGACCAACTTCCCTTTGATTTGTTGGATCTTTTTTTGCGGACAGCAAGCCATGTCGCAAGTATGGTGATGGCCCAAGAACTGTTTTGGCGGAGGCATTCAACCAATTGGTCCAAGTGCTAAACCGATCTTCCAAAGAGCTTTAGGTCAGAGAACGGCTACAAAGTGGCTAGCTATGACCGCAACATCAATCCCAAGACCATGGATTTCAATTCACCTGCGGGTTTTTTTTGCTCCTTGCCCACACTGTATGCTGAAGCTATCGTCTGAACCATCCCGGAGCTGCTGGCCTGCCCGAGGCTTGCCCTTTGGGTGGCCACCCACATGAGCGTGAACTCCCTGGCAGTCATGGGTCCGGATTGCAGCAGCTGGGGACTGCCAGCCAGAGGATCCAGCATGCGAAGCGCAACCAACATATGGGGAAATATCTTTTCTGATTGGGTTCGCCGGAGTACTCAGATGATTTCACGGCTCCCCAACATGCAAAAGATATGTTTTTGGGGGTTGATGTTTGACCTGAACTCATGAGTTGATGTTTGACCAGAGTTCTAAGAATTTGGAAGACTAAGGGTGGTCCTTCTCATTTTGGTATTGCTGGCCAACCACTCATTATGGGTGCTAGAGCAGCCACGACAATCCCTACTTTCTGACCACCGACGTTTCAATTGGCTTACCAACCACGTGTGTTATGCACCTTGCTCTGGTTAGGCTTTCGAGTGATTGAACTTCCCGCTGTTGTCCACCAAAATTCCTGACTCTATATTCTTCATCCTTTTGGATGCAGCTGCATGGCCATCCGAGCCCGAAGCCAACAACTTGTTGGTCAAACATGCCCGAGATTAACCACTTGGATCTGGGCAAACTATCCAAGATAGAGAGGGAAAAGCGAACCACCCTCCAAACCACACGACCCTCGGCTACAAACCTGGTGCGATTTGAAGGAACGTTGGGGCACCCCCCCGCACATAGCGGGCGCATCTTGAGCCTAGGACGCTACATGGATTCCAAGGGCAAACCTCGATTTGTTGGAACTGCGGGGCTATCTGCGAGCCAGAGCTTTGGTTGTGTTTGTGAAAGCCGATTCATATACCCACCCTGCAATCCACACTTCCTCAGGACATATCCTCGCGGCTTTGCCTCAAAGCTGCTGGAGGCTCTTGAGACGCACCTTGGCAATGCTGGTGAAGGCAGGCGCGACTTGAGATTCAAGCCGCAGCTATCACCAGTGCTGTCAGAGCTGGAGCAGTTCCAGCAGCTGAGCATGGGAGATCCATGGGAAGATGCGAACATGTTGGAATTGCTGCGCTATTTGATGACATCTAAAAAAGTCAGGACCGAACTTGACCAAAACACTAGTTCACCTTGCTCAAACTGAATGCACATGGGGCTTTAGGATTCCCGGAGATTGGCATGAGACGATGCATGAGTTCTACGATGAATATCATCGCCGTGCTACTTTGCATTGTTAACATGCTATGCCCAATCTTTTTTTGTCAGAACCGCATTGGTATTCGGCACCTTTCCGCTACTCATCGATGGCGAACCTCAGGTCATGGGGGATATCATGTTGCAGTCTGAGCTCATGAAGCACCAGATTGGTGGGGCGGCCAGATCCAGCGCAGAAAACGGGCAGTAGAGTGTGAGATTGTGCAAAAACAGCACCAATTCACCCATTTGGCTCTCTTCTGAGAGTTTCGGGTGGTTTTAGAAAAATTTGGGCAAAAATTCTAGGCCGCACAACGAGCGCACTTTCGCGCACACCGGCGCACATAGGCGCAAACGGGCGCACATTCAAAAAGTGTACTTTTGGAATATTTGCAACTAACTGTTTAAACGCTCAGTTGAACAATGAGTGGCACTCTTCAGTACAATGCATCGCAAAATGGCAACTTGCATGTTAATCCGCTAGCATTTTGGGATTCAGAGCTTCAGGATGGTGGACCGTCTGCACTCTAGCAACACACTTATGGAAGGAATGTCAGGGGTTTCCTTCAATAGTGTTGACCCTTCATCACGGAAGCGTGAACTTGAACGCAAGATCGAAGAGCCTTGTCTATCTACGGGGTTGTGCGAACTATGGTGCGAGAATCATGTGTACATGTACACACGCAGTACCTTTTGCTTCACAATAGCCTCACTCAGGAGTCGAAGGCTCGCTTGGCCAATCTCCGTCGGAAAGGCAGCAACCAAGCAGGGCTAGAGATCCCTGAAAAACCAGCGATTCCTGGCCCTTTGCCCGCACGTGTGTCACCTGTATGATCCACCATGTTAACCTATAATGCACGCTCGTGAACTTGAGGCGGGTTATGCACAGCTCAGAGCAGTGGAACGTACTGCGCTGGCAATGCGGAGGTTGTGGAGGTTGTGGAGACTGTGCCTGACACTGTCTTGCCTGACCCGGAGTGGACAGATGCCCAACCAAGAGATTCCCTTGATCCCTGTTGGCCACACACTCGACCGGATACGGCCGAGGCCCCCCGCCACTCCACCTCAGGCTCCAAAATTGCCCGCGCCAAGTGATGAGGACAACCTGCGCACCCCGAACAACAAGGTTCCAGCCCCAACGCCGGGCACCGTGTTTGATGACTCTGCATCAAACGCCCCCGAAGCACCTCAAGGTGTACGTGACCCTATGTATTGGAAGTTTCCTGGCCCGTATGTGTGTACTAGATTTGTTTGCTGGGCAGTTCCCTTTTGGTTCCATGCACTTCTCAACCGCAAGGTGTAGAAGGTACTTTACGCCAAAGGCTGATGGGAAGCTCAAGTGCTCGCCGGAAGCGCTGAAGCTATGGGGTACTCCTGAAGGTAGTGACTGGCCTACAGTCAGTCAAATCTATTCCACCCACACGTCGGAGTCAACGTGTGCTAAGTTGACCACTCAGGCCAACAAATCAAGCAAATGTTGCGGGAGCACGGGACCTTCGAAGCCATGGAGGTTCAGCTGAAGAAGGTTCACCAGAAAAAAAATCTCAAACACGTGGCGGTGGATGGTATACTGAACACTATTTGAAGACAGAGAAGCACTTCACTAAGCCAATCCCTCAGGTACTAGGTTGGTATACACCGTACAGATCAAATTCTTTTGGTCCTCCTGTTTTTGGACCTACTCAGGTCCATGATCCAGAAAGCTTGGCAATGGGCCGGAGCTCATGGTCGCAAACGGAAGAACGAAATCCATGGTGAGGAAGAAATTCAGATCGTAGTCGATGATACTTTCGATCTCATGGACACAGAGATCGAAGAAAAAGAGCGAAGTGGTTCATTGATATGTCAGGTGGGGGAGGGACACACATGCTAGACTAGACTAGACCGCCCAAACCCCAAACGCCCTTTCCGGATCCAATTTCTGTGTAGGATGATGAAGGGACCCTGCTGGATTCCGAGATCCCCGACATTCGTGGAGGGGCCTTGGCAGTCTTGCCGGATCCAAGCGATGGCAAAAACAAAACGCCAGCAGGTGTGGGGAACACGTCATCGGTCATGAGTTTCAAGCTGCTATCCTAAAAGATGGCAGCTTTTCTTTGAATGAGTCAGCAACCAACATGTTCCATATGCAAACCCCTACGTGTTTCAACCCGCTTCTGAGGCTTACGTTCCCAACAGTCACGGCCACGACAACACCGTTGCAAGTGTTGCCACAGTTTGTGGAAGTTTTGGGAAAGAAAGTTGACAAGGTCCAAGCTGAGCTGGACAGATGCCACGTGAAGTTTTGCATGCCGTGCATACTTATAATTTTATAGATCTATACGAACCCATGACCTCTTGCAGGACCGAATCAATGATGTGAACACTGCAGCTTCCAAGCAGTCCCTAGGACATGAGTCTGCAAGTCATGAGCACCAGGTCACAACAGCGGAGCTAAGATCGTCGCACTGTCCTGAGGCTGCACTTGCAAGTGAAGAATGTCCTGGGCCAAATGGAGTCGTGCTACGACAAGTTGGCAGAGAACCTATCCCAAGCTACCGTAGCCCCAGATTCAATTGATGAGAGTCTTGCCTTGTTCACCCGTCAACAAGTGATGGCAAAAGAGATTACAGGTCTGCTGTTTTTCCATATAGCTTCTTGTGTGGTGTTTTTTGAGGAAAAAGCGCAGTAGTGTTCAAGCACTCTTTGTGACGTGCACGAAGTTGGACGTGTCCATGTGCGCGTTGATGCAGCGTACAAGGTCATTTAGTCAGCAAAGGGAGTTATAGCTATTTGCTCGAATTTGAACACGCATTTCCGACTGTGCGCCCTCTTCACCAGTCCTAATCCTCTCGCTGAGGTCCATCAAAACGACCAATGGGCCAGGGTCTGTGGTGGGCAGTGAGCCTGGCGGCCGCAAAGTGAAGGCCAAAGCCAAGGCTGATGCAAAGGGTTCAGCAAAAGCTGAAGCCAAAGCTGGAAGCAAGTCAAAAGCCAGGAAGGCTAAGAAGTAGCCGTGGCTATGTTGCTATTTGCTGGATGGGATTGAATTTTGGACAGGGGCTTGTGTTTCATGGACACTTGCCAAAGAAACCCAATTTCATAGTTCTTATGGGGTGCTCCGGAGGCTCAGCCGTCGATGATCAACAACTTCCGATTGCAAAGTCAAGACCCATTACTTTCAGTTCTAAAATGCAGCGGCTGGTGATCTTTGGAGGCCTTTTGAGTAAAACCGCACAAGTTCTTGGGGAAAAACATGCTTGCAGAACGCCCACCATGTCATGGATGAGAAAGCTTATACGCCACCAAAAGAACACACAGGGATCAATCTTTTGTCGCCAT